AGTCATACAGTCGACTTTCCAGCTCCGATGCTCTTTTGTTGATCTATAATGTATTATGTGCAATCCGATGCTCTTTTGTTGATCTATAATGTATTATGTGCAATCCTTTTACACGGAACCGTTGCCAGTATCAGCGTTGGAACGTCTCTTTTTATCAAAGGCGCGTAGTTAGGCTCCTGCGTTTACCACAGAAACTGTGAAAAAATTTGCACAATTCAGGTCTTAACACGTGATTCAACGTAAAAGTGAGGCCGCACCGGTCAAAAAGTGTTTTTCTACTGGTTCCGTGTAAACGAAAGGCGGATCCGTGCACGTTCTTGTCGTCCGTTCAAAAATTTGTCCGTAACCGTATAAACGGGCTCTACTAGCCTGGTTGACCGGTTGAGTATTAGACAAATTAGATTTTAACAGAATTCCAAAATGCGTTTCTTGTTGTTACAAGTAAATGAGTGCTTACCGTAAACTGCCGCATATAAGCTCCGAAGCTTCGTAAGGGTGTTAGGAGCCAGGGATTATGAACAGAGGGGCCTGTATCCGAGGGGGATTATAACCAGAATAAAAAAAAAGTCTTCGAAAGAATCTATACAGTGCTGATCAAAACATGTTTTTCTTTTTCTGCTTTTAATTCAAGCTCAGTGAAAATGCCGGACATTATGAATAGAATTCATTTCAATAAAATCGGGGTGGGAGGAGGGCGGGCAATTTTCGATGGGGTTTAAAAAGAATGTTTTTTTATCAGGGGTACCGTAGAAGGCCTATAACTGGGGAGGGTTATAAGAAGAGGGACAGTTATGAGCGGTAGTTTACGGTATTCGTATACAACAAATTGAACAAAGCAAAATTATCATTATTGAGCGACCTTGAATTAAGGTTCAAATCTTACAAAGTTCCATACCGCAAATACGCATCCCAACTCAAATAGAAACAAATTTACAATGTGTAGTGGAGCGAGTATTGCTAATTATGTTTTGATCATATTATTGCATCCACCATTGTCATTAAGCGTTATCTAACCATTATAAACCGCATATCTGTGTTGACTGAATCATGGCCGTAAAAAGGCATGTTCAATAGACTAAACTGAAACCAAACTACAACCAAACCAAGAATTATTCGGCTACAAATGAGTGCAAAACTGCATAGAGGAACTGAAACCGAACTGTAACTCGCGAACCCGCAGCGTTTGTACCACTGCTCATAAGCTATTTTCCAAAAGCACCCCATGCATTGCTTGGTAAAGTACTGTTGTTTATTTTTTGGGGCTCTTCTGTCTAGACACCTTTTGTAACTCCATTTATCATTGCATGTGTTTCAATGTGATAAAGATATCCACAATGATCGTAGCAGTATTCATCACACATCCAGCAAGTGAATCTTTCTTTGTCTCTAGCAGATCGTTCCTCGCAATCATGCCTCTTCAAAGCATTGTCATCAGTGAAATCTTTACCACATGATTCACATTTGTGTGGTGAATCAGAATGGAATTTTCTTTTGTGATAAAACAATGTCTGTTTCCGGGTGAAACATGTTTCACACTGAGTACACTTGAAGGGTCTTTCTCCACTGTGTATCCGCAGATGGTCTTGCAGGTGAGATGAGCGTGTAAAACATTTTTTACACCGATTACATTTGAAGGGTTTTTCTCCACTGTGTATCCGCAGATGGCCTTTCAAGTGAGCCAGTTACTTGTTTAAAGCCCTTATTACATTGGCTACACTTGTAAGGCCTCTCATCACTGTGTACCCTGAGGTGGTAGTTTAAGCTAGTTCCTTGTTTAAAGCACTTGTTACATTGGCTACACTTGTAGGGTCTCTCATCGCTGTGTGCTCTGAGGTGCCGGTTTAAGCTAGTTCCTTGTTTAAAGCACTTGTTACATTGGCTACACTTGTAGGGCCTCTCATCACTGTGTACCCTGAGGTGGTGGTATAAAACTGATGCTTGTTTAAAGCACTTGTTACGTTGGCTACACTTGTAGGGCCTCTGTTCACTGTGAATTTTCATGTGCACAGTTAGAGCTGACTTTGCATTAAAAGCCTTTTTACAGGTTCTGCACTTGAATGACGTTCTTCGAGTCCTCTTCCCCGCGGCCATGTCTGGCAATTTAAAAGCAAGAAAAACAGCTTGCTTGAGTTTTTAACGG